AGATCTACGTCGTTATAAAATATCGCAAATATTGTGCAACAAACAGAGCCATTGATTCTTTCGTTGTGTGGGATCGCACCCAAGAGCACATGGAAATCTTTTCTTCGTTTTCTTCTATTTGGATTGTTCACAATGTTTCAAAAGAGTCTTTCTCGGACACAAGCTAGTTGAACCTAGTTTATTTTTCAATTCTTTTCCGCAACCTAATTGAATACCGACAAATTGGATTACTCGATAGTCTTACCGTTGCAAATGTCTGCATGAAACAAACGGCTAATTACACACGAACTTCACTCGGCTCGTGGTTAAATGTTGTCGTTTTCGGCCGCAAAATATTGTGTTTAAATGTGAAATATGGTGTTGCATTGGTACAATCCCAAACGCAAATTGATCACATTTCGAGGTATTTGACGCATACAAAGATATTATTACTATCACTTAGCATGGTTACTGATAACAGTGGTGAGCAATAGCGTGCTAATGCCGTCATATTATTGTCACTCGTGTTATGCACCACTGCGATATTCACCGAGCTACTTTTGACAACTGCAACAAGAATTTTTTAGCGTAGCCGCACAAAATAACGACAACTTTTAGTATTATCTTTCGCTAGCATTTCATCCAGATAATTTTTATTAAAATTCCGCTAACTCGCTACTTTGCACCTGCAAGGCAATGATTATTTTTGCATCGTTGGAATACATCTTTGCGTTCAAGTGCGGATGAGTGTTTAGCGGCATTTTTACCGGTTTTCGATACGCTTTCCTCAATTGTGCTTCTAGCGGAGCGGATTATTTTAAACAAAAATAATATTTCTGTAACGAATCAGTGATCAGCNTATTACATATAGGATCAGTGTTTGTGCACGTATGTATCAGAATAAGAAAACATTAATACTTCCCTTCTTCGCCCATTCCATTTAATGGTGTTTCAACAAGCTTTTACTGCATTTGCAAACAAGCGCTACTAGAACATAGCGATAATTTGGAGGGGTTATTAAATTTTATGATCTTACGAAACGATGTTTTGACAATTGCAAGAGACCTCTTTATTATCGTCAATGGCAAATCAAATGTTTTGTTTACGCTGCTATTGCTATCTGACACAATCGATGCAAATTCCGAGTAAATCTGCGCTGAATAAACTTAATGAGTTCGCTTTGAATAGAAAACATTTAACACGCCTTGGTCAATTCCTAACAAATTAAACCGATTAGTGAGCTTAAGCATGATAGTCTTGCTTCACTGATGGTCATGAATACCCATGTAGTACTTACCTGTACGTCCCTCACGAATGTATCGGTCCTCATGCATACCAGCTGGTGATATCATCATTATTACGAACGGTCACGCCTTTCGATTAACTGCTNGCTGATTGTGGGTGTGTCAGAAGTTTTACCTATTGAAATGTTTGTCTTTTGGTAACTCCTCAGCTGAGGAGCATATTGAAAAGATTAAGCATTCTAGAAGCTGGATAAAGAGGAGTCCATCTATCCAGTTCCTTCGCATATCAACGCACCCATATTAATCCGTTCCTTCAAATGACTTCCATTCTAAACGGTCCAATCACGGCAACTGTTGTTTTCACTGGTGTGCTGTTGAATTCCTTAACCATTTACGTGCTCCTTAAAATGCCACATCGTAGACGTGAACTACGGCAACGAGAAATAGATAACGCTCCATCAGCCTCTCCTGCAACCACCAAACCTACTGTAAGATCTCCAAAGCGACTGAAATCTTCATTAACTCTGCTCAGACGCAGTAAATCGACAACGTCGTCAAGTAATTCATATCCAGTAATTTACACGTATTTCATTTGGTTGACAAGCACAGATTCGGCACTATTGGTGAGCGCCTTGTTCATGTATTCGTTACCATCGTTGATTGATGAATCGTTCACAAATTACTATGTGCGCTTCTTTCCGTTCTGTTATGTGCTAAGTAATGCCACATTGACTGCGTCTGTATGGTTGATGTTTGTGATGATGTACGATCGCTATCGTGCTCTGTGCAGACCGTTACATCAGCGCTTATCACAAAGACACTTGCAAAAGCCAACCAGACGGATTCACTGGATTTGCATGTGCATTCTGTTCATGGGCTTGATCTATTCACTTCCGAGGCTATTCGAACTAGATGTTATCACGGAAGTAGTAAACGATGAAGTGCATAGAAATGCGTCCTCTCATTATCTGAGTGCCCACACCGAGCAACTTCGTGTTGTACAAACGGCGTTGGTTAAGAGCTATTTGTACATGGTTGGCTATCGTATTGTGGGCGCTATTTTATTCTACTCACTTCTGCCTTATGTAATTTTGTCAGCCATCTCAGCACGGGTCTCCTATGCGGTTCATCAGGCAGCGCTAAGGCGGAAAGCCATTTGTAAATCATCGATCGATGTGTCGTTGGAACGACGATCGTGCGAGTCCGAACGTATTCTGCTGGCCACAATGGCGAAATTCCTGATATCAAGATTGCTACCGACAGCGTTGGATATTACTGAGCATATTATTGGACACGAAAGTTTTCTGATTTCACCAACGATCACAATTGTTGTGGATGTTTGTGATTTGATCGTTGTTCTAGCAAGTGCAGTGAATTTTTTCATCTATTGTGCACTCTCGAGAACATTTCGACGCTCGTTAGGTTTGTTGCACTGCTATGTTCGTGTTCATTCTCATATTACTGACTTAAGTTTCGCGTATTCTACGAACAATGTGTTTATTAATGAAGTACTGAATACATCCTTCTCAGGTAACTAAGTCTTTAACCAAATCTGTTGATATCCATTGATTGATTGATAGTTTGCACGTGTTCCAGTGAATAGCAATAGTAAACCGTCGGTACAATTAATTCACATGTAAAGCTGATTGTTATGTGTTATGCTAAATTCTGCTTCAAATTGGACCATCATAAAATGCTGATCAATCAAAATCGTCAAAATTTTCAACTAATAGTTGCGTTTTAGAATTTTATGACCTTTACGGTTTATCCCTTGACATCGATACAGCGCTTCAACCGAACCGATTCTAACGGCTTCGATTATTTTCGAACAAAAGTTATAAGTTATATCGGGCACTACTTATCAGATTTGATTCAATGTTCTCACGTTCACACTGAACACCGAATAGTTTATGAGTCTTATGAGATGAATTTCGAATCACATCATAGCTCATTCCATATCAATAATTTATCCAAGTATTAAGTCTCCGTTCAGTACTATATGCCGTTTAATGAAATTCAACAAAAAAACGTTTGCAATTGGCGTTCATTTGCTTAGTTTCGTCAAAAATGTTTTATGCATAATTCAGCATGAGAATTGCTATGGGCATTCCAAAAAATGGAGCAGCATTTCATTTGTTTCCCTTCTTGACTGCTTCAAACAAAATGTCATTCACATTTCTGTCATCTTTCACATCATCATGCTCATCACCAACTTGGCTCCACTAATGTCCACTCCCTTTAGATCAATCAAAAATTCTTGAATGATTATTGCATGTGATGTGTATGTGTGGGTATGCTTACATTTGGGCGTGTGTGCGGCATCCATTGTAAGTTGTCATCAGATATTTGAAATTTTTATGGACTTTTTTTTCAAATTTGATATTCATCGAATGCCTCAGAGCATCTTCTCACCCTGTTTTTTGAGCTGGCTTCCTCATATAATCTTGTGTGCACAACCATTGCACTTTTGTTTCGCTAGAATATTTTTACTTGTAAAATTTTTGGGATTCTTAAAATTTCATACATGNATTTTCTGGAATCAGTTTCTGGAATCTGAATTCACTTGGAAATCTTCAGTGGTTTCGGAAATTCATTGTGATGACTTCAAGATCTCATGAAATGACAGTTCACAAAATTGACTAGGTCGAACGAAACAAATTACTATGAGGCGTTCAGGTGGCTTTAACCTGGAACTGCGGATGTTATTCACGGTTGATGTTAACATGTAGAATAATAGAGGAAATGCATTATGAAATTGATAAGCAGCATAGGGTAAGTAGGAAGTATATGCTGCAGCAATATATGTCTGGCTATAAATAGAAGGTAACATGTGCACTGTTGAGATGAATGCGTTCCTATCGGTTGGTTGATAATTTATTGCTTTGACGTGGATATGTGCCTTTTCCGAAGGCTATTTTTCATTTGAAGACAACTTAAATAGCTTTAATAACTAGCATTTCTTCGACGGATCACATTCGTCAATATTTTATGTGACATTCTATGAAATGAAGCATTCATTCGGGAATAGAATCCCATTTGGGGATTGCTAAGAAGAATAATGATTCAGTTCTTTTGGAATATGTGATTTCGTGTGAAATCATCCCAATTCATGAATATTTTTGTAAAGATGACTCCATGATAATTGACACCCCACATAGGTTGGAATTTCATTCTACATCGCGTGCCACAAACGATGAANCAACAGCAAACGCCACCACCACAAACGATGAACTGAATCGAAACGATAGATGAGACAAGCCTAAAGAAAATCAGCTCATTGTCAATTAGGGATAAATGAATTTTAATTTTTTTTTCACAAGTGCAATCAGTTACATTCATATACACATAAGCACACACATAAACGCGTCATTTTAATGAACGCTGCTAAATTGCATAAGAAATTCGTTCATTAACATTTAATTTACTTACTCCGAACAACATCGCAATAATTAAGCAGAAATTCTTACAATAAATTTTTTCTCCAGCATCATTTGCGCCATTTTTTTCTGTATGAGGTGAATTCATAAGTTTATCATTAATTCAAACAACATATTCCAGTACGTGCTCCGATCAGCTTCGGTCGCAGTTCACTGAGTTCTTTTCTTAATTCACATGTCTTTTTTTCATTTATTCA